GTCCATCAGATCTTTCTCAGACATGCTTAAAAGTTGTTCCTTGCTTTTATTTAGAGATATACCCAGTTTTAGACCTTCAAGCAAAATCCTGTCCGTCCCTTCATTATGTATAGCCAATAACTCTTTGTGGTTTTCTGTAATGAAAATGCCTTGTTTAATATGGTAGTACATACCATTTATTTTGTTTAAATCCAGCAAAAATGTTAAAAAATTATATATAGTCAATAAATTATACCGAAATGTATTATGTTGGTTAGGTTGACATGCCATTAAGTTGCAAGTTGATAGGCCCTTAAACTTAGGAAATTGCTTTGCAGCAAGTTTTCTGTTGTAAGTCGTCTATATTGTATGCCTTACGTATTCTTACTGTACAAAGCAAAATTTGCAAGTTTAAGGGTCTATAAAATAGGCAATAATCCAACATCCCTTGCATGCAGTTTTCTGTTAACCTCAAACTTACCATCACTCCTCATTAGCATTTCATCTGGTAGGGGCCATTCACAAAGGATGTCCGAGCCGAGGGGGGAGGGGGGTTTGGAAAATCAGGACAATCTCGGACATAGAGAGGGGAGAGGGGGGAGTGGGGGTAGCAATCCGGATGTCCGAAATTTCAAAAAATTCAAAAACAAATTTCTTTTTCCTCTATTTTGAACTCTCGCTCCCACTGTGAAATTGGCGTTTTGACTTGCGGTTAATACTATATTTTGTTTTAATTAGTAATTTATATGTTTTTGTATTCACATATATACCTTTATAGTTATAAAAAAGTTCTAAAAGTAAAAAAAGTTTTTACTCTTGACACATACAAGGTTGCGTGAGTTTTTGCCAGGCATGGCGGATCAGGGGGAGTCACTAATTCGAATAATGCTGGACAAGAGGGGGGGGGGGTCTGAAAATCCATCATTTGGCCGGACGTCCTTTGTGAATGGTCCCTAATGGAAATCATGAACCACTTGAAGGTGTACCATTTCATCTGGTAATGCCAATGGAACCACCAGAAGATTCCATTACCAAATAAAACACTGCATAGTAATTTTGTCCAGAAAACTAAGACTGCCAAAAAGATAATATATCTTATTAATTTATTAAAATATCCCTCAAATACAATTTACAACAATAAGTATGTGCATTACACAAGGAAAGAAAGAAGAATCAGGTAGCTAATCACTATCCCTTGTCAAGGCATATCAAAGGCGCCACAGGCAACTGCCTTTTCACAGTTCGAATCACAGATAAGATCTTATGTTGGTTTTATTAAGGGAGAAAAACTGGAGTACTCAGTGAAAACCCCTCTAAAAACAGAAGTTTTACATTGCAACAATTTAACCTATCAAATTGACAGTTCAAGCAATGTGCCTTACACTACTTTATTCTTTTACTTGCAGGCTGACTATCTGTACAAAGAGTGGCCATATGTTAAATATTGAATTAATGCAATTACTAGAAATCATAACTTTTGCACAGACCAAAAGGTTCTAAAGTCTGCAGTACAACTTTTCCAGCACCATATGAAATCAGCAGTAGTCCAAACAGTGTTGAAAAGGCAGTGGTTGTTCTTTGGCTTTTAATGTCATCCAATGCAAGGACCATTTGAAGGGCAGCTTTGAATTTGTACGAGACAGTCTTCTTACACTTATTGTACTTTGACCATTTACCGGCTGCAAGGGTCTCCACAATCTCAGTCAGTAGTGGACAATATTCACGTACTTTAATAGGTATTTGGTCAAACGTTCCTTCTCCGAATATAAAGTTTAAATCTTCACTTTCTGTCATATCCACGACTGTAAATTGACATATCTTCTGAAATTCCAGAAGTTCTACTTCCAGGGCTTGCTTATCAAATTTTAATTGGTCCTGATCATTGTGGGACGGCGGCTTATGCTCTTTGCTATTGGCAGTTGAGTCACAGTGGTCATCAGTATCATGTGTTTTATCACTATCAGAAAATAAATTTCGTTTAATGGACTTTGCTTTTCCATTTTTCATGTTTGTTGCTGAATCCTCTTTGGCAGAAAACATTAATTGTTGCTTTAAATCAAAATTTTCTTCAATGAGTGGTGTAACATTTTCCAAAACAGTTTGTTGAATAGCTGTTACTATGTCATCACCCAAATTTGGTTGAATTAGTGCAAGAGAGCCATAAATATTATGCCATATATGAGAAGCAGATTGTTTTGATATTCTTGAGATGTTCACCAAGACAGTTCTATATTAGGTTGTTAAGGAAATCAGCAGAAAGTTGTACACTATATTAACTATGACTAATTAATTAATTAATTTAAAAGAAGTTAATTTAATAAAGTAAATTAAGAAAGTGCAAGTGTGTGACGTAATATTACAGTTCAACAAATGTATTATATTATAGCTAGGATACAATCTTTTTCTATTGTCACATCCATCCTTTTGGTCACCAACACGGATTGTCTTCTTTTCAATTTTACCAAGTGTTTGCACAGCATCAAATATTTTATGTTTAGTGATCTTATGACCAACAACTTTTTCTAGCTGAAGCTCCACTTCTGTCTGAGGTATACAATTACCAATTTGAAAAACAAAATTCCTCTTGACAGCATCAAATAAACTAACTATACAATAGAGAAAATATTGAAATTTAATGAATACAAAAAATGTGTACAAAATAAAACCTGTTTAAATTTTGAGCCAATTGCCATAATAACCCCCATAACATGGTGGAATGAAGCAGGTTCATTTGAAATAAATTGAGGATGAATGTAAGAAATATAATTATACATCAGATCTATTGATGACTTGGAGTTCGTTGTGGTGGATTTAGTGGTAGGGTTGCAGGGGGGTGTGCACCCTCTCTTTATCCTAAGTTTATTCTAATTCTAACCAACTTAAGTTAAGAATTCAAGGCAGCTGGTAGCACTAGTTCACAATAGCAAATATTAATATTAAATATTCTGAATTTTGCTGTAAACATCCATCGTTATAATTTATATTGTATCAGCTCAATGGCCACCCGCAGCTCACATAGCAGGGCCAGCACCCCCCCCAAAAAAAAAAACCCTCCTGGATCCACCACTGATCCAATCAAGTTTATTTATCAATAATGATGTTGTGTTTCTTTGCACTTTATTGAAAACAGATTTCTTATTTACTTAATGTCATAAAACTAATCCATTTCAAATGTACAACGTGGATTGAACATTTAATGTGTTAGGTTTCATGAAATGATTGTGCCAGAAATTGTGCAGTGATTCATAATAAACATGTGCGACAAAATATAGACTGCCACAAAAGTTAATTTATAATAATCGATCATTGCGGATATGCAGATATGCAATGACAACAATGTTAACATTATAATATATAATAAAATATAATACTACCTTAAAATTTTCCTTTTAGATTTTCGGTAACCAGGACTTGGGGTAAATCTAGGACCTTGCCTTTTCTTGCTTTTACTTATTCTAGATGGACTTGATCGTGGGCTTGATACAGTCGCTCTGGTTTCTTCATTGTAATACGAGTCTGCTTATAAATAATTACAAAACAAATGAGGTGAAATCCGATGCCCTTGACTATAAATATACATTAATATTAATATATGTCAACACCATTCAAATTTAGCATACTTATTCATATGAAGTCAAGCGTGGGCGTTAAATTATTTGATTACAATTTTGATGATAAAAATATAGTTTTCGGACCTTACCTTGCATGTTATGAGCCATTTCGCAATCAGGGCAGTTTCAGGGCAGTTTTGGCCTTGTTGTTGGGAAATCCACTAGGCCTTCTATTTTTTCTTCCTTCGCCCGCCCCCAAATCACCTAGTCCCAGTCTTCTCATGTGAAAAAGCACTGAATATTAAAAATATAAATAAAAATAGAAGGCCTAGGTCTAGGCTGACTTTCATGTAATATGTCAACCTGTATGAGCAGAAATTATTTTATTTCAAAACGTTATTCAAAATACAAATTTGTTGTAAAAATATGAGTTGTCAACCTCCTAACAAGAACAACTAGGGAAAGGTAGAGTAAACACATCCTGATATATTGGCTTAATGGCAGACTGGGGACAACTTGGTCGCAAATATGGAACAAGATAAGAAAATTTCAATGATTTCTTACACTGCAAAAGTCAACAAAGATTATTCACCTGAACAGGATTTGAATTCGCACTTGGGATTCCAGCCTGCCGCTATTAAGCGATCGCGTCAGCAGAGATCAGTGACCAGTTTTTATGCGATTTATGTGCGAGCCAATTAAAGCATTTCCTACACCAATATCCACCATTTTTGGGCTACTGTCATCCCTCGTCAAAAAAATGTACACAATAACACAATGTGAGGAATCACAGATGTACAAGTATAATCGCATATACTTTCTGATTAAACATTACGTCAGGACATAAATACTGTAATCAAACCTTACAAAGTCACGTTTGTTACTGACACAGATAACATTTTTATGAATTAATGTAGACTTGTAGTATTTTTAACTAATGCAAGATACTAACTGTAAAAGAAAAAAGTAAGTTAGAAGCACTGAATCAATAATAGTTTGTAAAAAAACAGTTGAACTAATGCATCTGCTTCCTGCCTGTTGTAACAACATACACTCATTATATAGACACACATCCCAATACCAGTTTGTAAAACTAATCATTGTATAATACCCTTTTTTTCAGCAGACCCATTGGTTTGAGGGGTTTGTTAGAGATGTTGATGATACTCTCAGTTTTTTCTACCACATTCAATTTTTGTGTTGCAATGGGGACACAGCTTGCAAGCATTTCCAACAATGTGGTTGCAAGTAGGACACTTCTTCTTTTGTGTTGTGTTCTGCATGTAAACAATACAGTACATAAATTATTATAAACATTTTCACACTTTCCACTTGCATTTCTAGTTAATCCGACAAATTCTCATTGACAGATACACAATGTATAAGACCTAGTGTATTAAATTATTTCCCAATTCTTATCTATGTTTTACTCGCTGAATGGATAATGAAGTAATGAACCTGTCCAAACAAGACTAGCTGAACTAATATGACTTACTAAAATGCATGCCTAAGCTATAGATACAAGAAAAGTAAATATAATTTCCAACTCACCACTTTAGGGAATGTTGTAGAAGGACTTTCTTCTGTTGGCTCTAAACATATAAATTTACTCTATTACGGTCACCCATGCTTATTTTTTCATGCATCTTGAGGAAGGGGGTTTATTAGAGGGTGGAGGGGCTTAAAAGAGAGAGGGGCCTATTTATTAATCCTTAAAAAACTCAATAATTCAGGAGCAAAACACAAAGAAAAATCATAAGCGTGTCGTGGTTTTATATGTGATAAAAAATCATGTTAATTTACATAAACTTTAGCTTTGATTTTCTCGGTTTAGACAAAGTTTATTTTAAAAATTACTTCGCCAATGAACTCATATAAGATGAGTTGTTTTTTAAGCCATTTAAAGCACTTGTAGTCATGTTTTATCACATATAAAACACTCCGCTACGCGTCATGTTTTATATGTGATAAAACACTCCAACGCATGCTTTAAATAGTACATAAAATGACATGATAACTGCTAATAGAGGGGGTTAACAAATTTCTTCATCTAAATATGGAGCTAGGGCTTTATAGGGATAGGGGCTTATTTGGTAATGGGGCTTAGTGGAAATTGCTAGAGGGTATACTTAAAAATGAAATTGAAGGTGGTGGCCATTCTGACAAAGTGTGAAAATATATTGTAGCGGTAACAAATTAGTTCTGTTTTTTTTTTTAAATTAGGCTTTTGTTTGAATGTGGAGAGGAAATGAAAAGAATAGCATGAAAAATACCCTTAAAATGTCTGCTTCCTTAATCAGGTCAATGTTACAGAAATACAGCATGCAGAAATAAAAACGTTGTTATTGCTGTATTTCCTGGTTTTCAAATTCATCAAATATGTTGAACGATTGTACATTGTACAAGTTAACGACGCCTGAAGGGCGGAGTGTTTTCACACAATTTTGAGTTTTCCCAATTTCCACTTGTGTTGATATAACTGTATATCAACACGGAAAATGTTTTATATTTGTTAAATATCAAATAACCACTTAATAGTTTAATTGCAAAATATTCTTGCTCTGGTGTATATGTATATATATATGTATATATGTATATATATATGTATATATGTATATATGTATATGTATATATATATATAGTATATATATATATATATATATATATATATATATATATATATATAATATATATATATATATATATATAATATATACTATTTAAAACATGCGTAGGAGTGTTTTATCACATATAAAACATGACGCACGCATAGCAGAGTGTTTTATATGTGATAAAACACGACTACAAGTGCTTTAAATGGCTTAAAAAACTACTCATCTTATAAGAGTTCATTGGCGAAGTAATTTTTAAAATAAATTTTGTCTAAACCGAGAAAATCAAAGCTAAAGTTTATGTAAATTAACATGATTTTTTATCACGTATAAAACCACGACACGCTTATGATTTTTCTTTGTGTTTTCCTCCTGAATTATTGAGTTTTTTAAATATATATATATATGTATATATATATGTATATATTTGTATATATATGTATATATATATTTAAAAAACTCAATAATTCATGAAGAAAACACAAAGAAAAATCATAAGCGTGTCGTATCTGTATATGTGATACAGATTCATGTTGATTTACATAAACTTTAACATTGATTTTCGCGGCTTAGACAACGTTTATTTTTAAAACTACTTCGCCAATGAGCTTATAAGATGAGTTGTTTTTTAAGTTGTTTACAACATTTGCGTCCGTGTTGTATCGGATCTACAAACTCTCGCCTTTGGCTCGAGTTTGTATATCTGATACAACACGGCCGCTCATGTTGTAAACATTACGTATATATGTGTGTGTGTATATATATATATTGCAGTATATTCATGAGCAAACGCTTGCCTTGAATCTGAATGCATTGTTGTGCTCAATAGATAAACCATTCCTTCAAAAAGACTTTTGGATCACATTTATTAACCAAACTCCAAAGACTTGCATTCTGAAAAATTTGTCTCACACAGTTGTCCACGATTTGTTGGCTGCTGATTATGCTAGCACTTTCCCAATTTGTTTGGCTAGAGGACAACCTTTTGCTGATGAATTTTAAAAGTGATATTAATAAAACAATCGTATTGTGCATGTTTGTGTTCTTTTAACCAGAATTAAAATATCGAAGTAGAAGAAAACTAAGTGGGTATATGATAGGCCGTTTTTTGGTAATCTTTGGCATTATCAAAAATGCTAGACGTTCAACATTAAAAAATCGATAACGCATTCAATATAATATTGCACAAGATTTTAAATGTTATATATGAAAATCTAAGTTGGCCCTTTCTGAATACAACAAAATGTATTTCAGTGCAATAGCCTTTATTGTTTTTACGTTACAGAAAATCAAACAGTGTATAGTTTTTCGGGGACACTAGTCTTGGTATATTATTATAGTGCACAGTATAAGATCCTGATTGGATTTCTCCATTTACACCAGGAAAATTACAACTTTAGAAAACCCGCCAAAAGCACAAAATTTCTTCCTGACAAAAATTTCAGCTACAGGTCATGAATGATTTCAAGTTGAAACATTAATTAACAAACTAGATTTTTATTATCTATATCATTAACATGCTGTGCTAACATTTTATACAATTGTGAACCTGCATCTTCGAACACAGAGCCAAAATATTTCACTGTATACTTGCATTTGTGTTATTATGTAAACAATTTTAAAAAGCAAGCAAAATGAATTTTTGAAGCAATACATACTGTATCCATCTGAAGGGTACCAAACCGTCTGTTTGGTGGCGAGAACTGAAGCGTATTTCAGGTATGCAGCCCAACAGTAGCAACGTAAACATTTTTACACAGCTAAAATTTAATGAACATGATTATAAAGGTAACCCAGAGGAAATTGGAAACAGAATAAACGAGTCCTTCTTACAACCCATGCGTGAATATAAACCTCTGTCTAGCAACCCATTCAACAATGGTGAGTTTGGTCCAGACCTAGAGACTTTTGAATTGACAGAACTAGATACATATAACCTACTTAGGAGAATTAATCCTCGAAAAGCTAGCGGGCCTGATGGTATCCCAAACTGGTTGTGTAAAACGTATGCAGAGATACTCGCAAAACCAGTCTGTAATATTATCAATTCTTCCTTTGATGAACAGAGATTACCGTCAATGTGGAAACATGCTGACATCATCCCAGTCCCGAAGGTAAAACCAGCCACTGATGTCAACAAACATTTGCGACCATCTCCTTGATGCCATCAATCTCTAAAGTTGCAGAAGAATTTGTGATCACAAAGTACATAGCGCCTGCTATAATGAATACATTAGATCCGGATCAGTACAGGGCGATACCAAAGTCCTCTTCAGTGCTTGCCCTGAT